ATAATTTCTCGAGAGTTAGAAACCTTCGCGAAAAGAAGAACATCATATGAAAAAAAATGATATATGAGGGGTCTATTATGAGATAACTCGACAGGTTTCTAATGGCCTTTATCGTCTGCCCTGATGATTGTATGCGTCAAAAATTTCATACAAATAACAAAGAGATAGGGTGGAAGATAATCACCTTGCCGTAATCCTTTAATGGGAACAAAATTTGTTAGTAATCTACCATTCCAAAGAATAGACATAAAAAAAAACTAATTACACTGTGCACGATCAACTTTATAGTAATGAGAGGAAACTCGTTTCGCTTTAAACAAAATTCTAAAAAAGTCTAATTAACATGATCATAAATCTTTTCAAGATATATTTTTAACACCATATCAATTTTTTTTTCTTTTTAAATTTACATGTAGAATTAATTATTTTTTTTGGAAGATAATAACATTGTCAGTTATTCTCAAACAAAAAAACTATTATAAAAAAGTCCAACTACTTAATTTAAATAAAAATACAATCTATTAACCATAATCTTTATAGTAAACTTGTATTGCACAAGATTATAAACCTAAACTCTTTAAATTTTTTTAAGGCAATCGTAATGCCATTTAATCTTTAAAAAAAAAAGGAAGAGTGAAAACTACCCGTCCAATTTTTTTAAAAATAATATCTAATTGTTTTACAACTACAAAAATAAGGTATTATTCAATGTAAACAATGTAATTTAAGAGGATTTCTTATCCCACCCCTTGTCCTTTTTAGCCATCTCGCGAAATTCTTTTTATGCCTCCTGTTTTCGGAGATACACATTCAGACACACCTTTTTTTTTTTGCCAAAATTTGATTGTTTTCGGAGTTACATCTACATAAGCATTTTCTACTGGTATACACTGAGGAAACTTGAAAATAAATCAGTGAAGGGAAACTTTCGAATTTGTAACTCTGAAACGTTTGAGCGGCAGATTGTTCCGTAGATACAACTCAGGAAGTTTCTGCTATATATTAAACTTGCATGACCACTCCCCCATTGTTGTCTTTTTTTCTTCCATACTCACTTCACTAACCTAAAAAACCATATAATATCAATATCATTTTCACTCTAAAACTCCAACTTTTTCGTGCAACAAATCACATGGAGCAAGTGAAGATAGAGTTTCAGGTAAAAATCTCCTTTTGTCCACTATATTGCTCACATTAATCATCAATCTTTTGGAAAAAAATTGACGTTGCTTCCAAATCTGTACCTATGGAACGTGTTGAAGATGAACACTTCTGGATGTACATCTCCGAAACGTCTGTGTCTATTTTTTTCAGCAGCTTTGTAATTTTTGCTTATTTTCCTTATTGTTTACAAATAGATATGGTTCACCCGATAAAATCTCAAAAGAATTAGTTCCTTCAAACGATGTTTTTCCGAATGTTCAAGGGGTTGTCGTAAAGTCGGTAGATGTCGGTGTTGAATTTAATAATTAGCAAGAGTTTGACGATCGCGAAAGCATGCTCACATGGCTTCGTAGGACTGCAACAAGACTTGATTTTGGTGTGGTTATAGGAAGATCGGATAATGGTTTAGAAAGAAGAAACAATTTTCTTACTTTGTTGTGCAAAAGAAGCGGTAAATATCAAATTCCTCTTTGGAAATTTAAGAGAGAAAACACAGGTAGTAGAAAATATGATAGTCCTTTTAAGCTTCGTGGTTACATATTGAGTAGCAAAAGGTGTAAATTTAGTGTTATTTATGGTTTGCGTAACCATGATTTATGCTCAAAGTTACAAGGTCATCCTAGTGTATGTCGGCTCAATCCGGAAGAGAAGACATGTATTAGTGACATGACCTTGAATCTTGTCCAACCGAAAGAATTATATGTCGATTCCGTCATTCAATTCTGAAAAGTGTGTGAAAAATATCCTGCTTTGTTGAAATATGTTGAAAGCACCATTCTTGATCAGGTGAAGGAGAAGATAGTTTATGCGTGGACTGATAATGTCTGACACCTTGGAAATAGAACCACCAACAGAGTTGAGTCGGCCCATGCTACTTTGAAATTTTGGTTGGGAAATAGCAAGAGAAATTTATGTCGAGATTGGGACTCCACAAATCTCATGATTAAAAACCAATATAATGAGATACAAACAACATTCGGTCGGAATATAACAGTATTGAAAAATTAATTTAAAGATAACATTCTTTATTCTCAATTGATCGGTAATATGTCTCAGTCGGGGTTGAACTATCTTTTTCATGAGGTCAAACGAGTTGAAACTGTAGGGTCCGATAGCGCAAAGTGTGGTTGCACTATTGTGAAAACCTATGGTCTTGGTGTGCTTGTATTATTGCTAAAGATTTGAAACTAGGTGAGCCAATAAGAATGGACGAAGTTTTTCCTTATTTGAAAAGACTTAGTTTTAACGATGATGGTTGTATGGAAGGGGGTAAATCGAATATCTCTATTTTGACCAAATGAGAAGTGATACAAGAGATATTCTCAAAGACCGATGACAACATGAAACTCCACATCAAAGAACAATTGAGGAAGATTACTTATCTCGAGACAACCGACATGAAATCGCCTTCTCAACCGATAAAGACAAAAGGTACTTCGAAGAAAATTAAGCCTACACTGAATGATAACTTACACAATCTTCTTCTTATTGTGAGCATGTTGACAAACTTTATCCCGACTCACAGACTCCTAAATCTCAAAAACGTGTCATGAAAGGAGCCCGCATAAGAAAACTGCCTCCGACCCCGATTCCACCAAAAATTCCATTCATCAACGAGATGCCGGTTTTTATGCACAAATGCATCGACCGTGTCGTCAATGTTGAAGGGGATGGTAATTACGGTTATCGAGCCGTTTCGACTTTGCTTGGTAAAGAAGAGGATAGTCATGCGCTTGTTCGTCATCAACTAATCCAAGAGTTGAAGACGCATAAAAAAAACCGTATACACAATTGTATGGAAAGAAAGAAAAATTCGATGCGGTTTATGAATCTCTTGACCCTTGCTTGAGTGGTCCGACACCGGTGTCGAAATGGATGACCTTCCCTGATATGGGTCATCTTATTGCACGTGCATTGACTTGACACGAAACGGGTTTTCAGAAACCTTTTCTCCACTCCGCACCACACCACCTCAAAATCCAAATGATCGCATCATGTGTATTGGATGACTTGCAAAATCAAGACATTTTGTACAAGTTTACTTGAAACCGGGATGCCCCATACCACCTACATCACCGGAATGAGCGACTCGTTCAACCCCAAATGTCGAGACGTGGCCGAATCATTTTGTTAGAAGGATGCACGAATACGAAAGATTAAACAACATTAAAAAGGAATCGAATGCGGAAAAGTCCAAAGGGGTGTCACCAATAGATTTAGCCGACGACACTTGTTTTGATTCGTTTTGCATTCTTGTATAATTGGACAAATAATTGTAAAATTTTGAAATGCAAAATAGTCACATTTTATTCTCATGCCTTATTTTTGCACATATGTCTTTTATTTGTCTATTATGATGTCCTTCTATATTGAGTTCTGCTTTAAAAATGTAGCAGGGAAACTTCCGGAGATGTATCTACGAAAGATTCTTAAATATGCAGTTTCCGTGGAAGTTTCGGAGATGCATATCCGAAACCAATAATTATAGGGTTGTTCCGTGGATATAGCTTCGGAAACAAGTTTGACAAGAAATGGTTGGTTCATATTCACCTAGGTTTTCGATAAATTTGAGGTTTCGTTTGTTATCTTTCACACAAATGCAAAAATGTCTCAATTGTTTGAAATCAAGATCCGTTGGTATATCGCAAGTGTCTCCTTTTCCGACATCAAAACACCCGGGAGGACGTTCAAGCTCATGGATCTCACCCCCCTCACTGATATCATAGACGAGATCCAATATCGCCTACCTTACAATGACAAACGAAAGGTTGCAAAGCTTGAATATCGTTCACCTTCAGCTGACAACAACGATAACGTTGTTTACAACAAGTTTGAGCTCAAGAATCAAGACGACGTTAGAGCGATGTGGCGAATGTATTTCGCTTTCGAAGAGAAGATTCCGCTCGAGTTGGAGACGACGGTCCAAAGAACGGTCGATGACATCTTTGAGATGTGCAGGTGTCCACCAGATTATTGAAATGCAATATTTAAATTTCTGTCAAAATCATCAATGTAACACCGATTTTATTTTATGAATGTTGATTTTATTGTTGCAATGTTGATTTTATGATATTCTACTTCTGAATTTTTTCCATTAATATGAATAAGAAAATCTTCTGTAAATACATTTATGAAATAAAATAAAAAAATAAAAAATAAAAAAAATACTTTCAAAAATACATCTTCAAAAATAAAGAGGACACTTTTAAAAACGTGCGTAAGAATCTAAGGGATGGGATAAAAAATTCTATAATTTATTCATGAGTTTTCATCCCTCTTTTTAACAATATTTATCATCCCTCCTTTAGCATCGCAATCGTGTCTAAGCACAACTTGTCTAAAAATAGTTTTTATTTTTGGGAAAAGGCAAAATATTTGATTAAAGAAAAAACCAGGCATAAAGGAGCAAGAAACCCTGAAAGTGATAATCGCAACGCAACGCTGAAAGAGAACTCGTTCACTCATTCATACTTCATTCAAGCTTAATTACGTTAGGTAAACTAACATCATTTCTTTCTTTTTATGATAATTCAAATTAATTCTCCAATTACCAGATCTGTTTTCACATATTTTTATCATAATTCAAATTCACGCTTTACCTAATTTTCATTTTAGATTTTACGGTTTCTAGACTGTGCTTCATAATTTGATTTCAACAAACATAATGAAGATTTTAATTTCAGCTTGGTTTGGCTAAAATCGTTTTTTTTAGGTTTTAAGGCTTTTCATGATTTTGTTGTGTTTTGATAATCTTGCTTGTAGAGGAATTAATTTAACTAAGAATTGATTTTTTGTTTGTTTTTGTGTTGTAGAAACAATTATATTATCATAACAATATGAAGAACCAAGGTGGATATGTGCCACCAGCTTACATTCCTTTAGGGCAATCAGATTCAGATGCAATGAGTGTATCTCTGCACCATGGTGATGATAGTAGCAACGGATCGAATCAAATGCAGGCTCAATGGTCTTCTGGAATCTGTGCTTGTTGCGATGATATGCCGAGCTGTATGCTACTTCCTTACCCTGTGACACTCATTTAGTACCAAGGTGCTTCTTGACTATGTATGCTTGTTTGTTTGAGAATATTTGCTCATGTACTTGTTCTTCTTTCAATCCTAATTTTGTTAGATAGTATCTGCCACTCGAAATTTACGAATTGTTAGATAGTATTCTGCCATAATGTTCTTCTTTCATTATGGCAGAATTTGATACACGTAGCCGACCCCACTTAGTGTGATAAGACTTGGTGGTTGTTGTTGTTGTTGTTGTTGTTGTTGTATTTGCTATTGTAGAGGTGTGAAATTCTTAGGAGAAGACTTTTCTTAGCATAGATAGATAGATGGGTGAATAGGTTCGTTGGTTGGAATCTTATATTGCAGGGTTGGGATCCTCTAAATTTCTCAAAAGAAGTTGAGAGCTTGGTTTGGAGAGAGAGAAAGAGACAAAGACAGAGACAGAGGAATTTGGTGGGAGCTGTGTTTGAAAATAATTCTATAAATTGGTCCAGCCAAACTTCTCTACCTGTCTATCTCTCTTATAAACAGTCTTCCACTTCTTTTGAGGTTCCCAAGGAATCCCAACTATCTTCGTAACATAAATAAAATAGAATTAAAGCTGTGGGTTAAGGGTTGGAGTTATGGAATCAGTCTCTTGAAAATGGATGGAAAGACTGGCTGCCATAGTGCCATAGACCCACAATGAAATCAAGAAACATATACTGTTGTTACACCGCTCAAAATACCATTTTTAGGATGATTAGCTTGGGAAAATAGTCAGGATCACCCGTGGACTTCGAAGATTGTGAATAGGATCGATATTTTGACTGCCTTGACAAGAGAGGATTAGGACGGGAAGTTGTGAAATTTATTTTTTCAAACTGGCTTTTGATTGACTGTAGCCTTTTCTTGTGTTTGTAAAACAATACTCAGATTAACTGAATGAATTTTTTCGTTGAACTTATTTATGGTTGTTGACTAGAAATTTCCCCAATCTCACATGCCTAGGGCATAGAGTAAACAGAATGCATCAATAAATATTTTACACCTTAATTAGTAAAATTCTTTTTTAGCCCGTTGATTCAAATATTTAAATTTTGGTACAAAAAACACTTGTTTTTTGCTTTTCTATATGTTGCAAAAAGTCAAGAAGTTTGTTTTGTTATTATTTTATAAACTTGCAATTGAAAAGACTGGTTACAAACTTTCGGCGTGCAGGTTGTATAGGTTGTTTTTGTCCTTGCTATCTCTTTGGGAAGAATGCAGAATTTCTTGGTTCTGGCACATTCGTGGGATCATGTGTTACCCATTTTATATTGTGGAGTCTTATTAATGCAGCCTGCTGCATAATAACTGACGGCCTGTTTTGGGGATTACCTGGATGCCTTGTTTCTTGTTACGCTTGTGGCTACCGCGGGACCTTAAGATCAAAACATAATTTGCCGGTAATATATTACAACCGTGCTTTACATCAGGTTTTATCACATGGTTTTCCACGTTTCCTTCTATTTTCCATTCCAAAAACACACTTTTTAGTGATAAAATAACTGTTTGTTAGATATGTTAATAGGGAAAGAGCTTTTCACTTCCCTAGCTTTTCACTTGAGACCAGTGAATTTAAAATGTCCAAAACTTAAATGAGAAAAAAATGAGATCTGTCTTGATGTCTATATCATCAATTTTCACAAAAGAAAGTATGTCTGTTAATGTCATGCAGTGGAGTTAGATAATGCTGCTTTCAAGATTTTAAGTATAGTTTATCCATGCTTTCAAGATATACGAACGGGCCATTTTTAATAGAAAAATGAAATATACTTGTAGGACTTTCTCTTTATAAGCATCAGAATCCTTAAAAGTAGTTCAAAGGAAGTTCAGATTTTGAAAGAATGCATGTTTCTCTTGAACGTACTGTGAAACACTTCTTAACAGGCCTTTGCCTAAAGAAATCTTAGCACTTCATATGAATTTCCCAATCTAAAAAATCTTGACGTCACTTGTGAAATGTTATTCTTTTTGTCTTATGAAGGAAGCACCGTGTGGGGATTTCGTTACCCACTTTTGCTGCCATATGTGTGCCATTTGTCAAGAGTACCGTGAAATACGCGAAAGAGCTGGGGATTCTGAAGCTACAGACACAAAGCTGGCAGTGGTTACAGCTCCGGCAGTCCAGACAATGCAACCAGATTCAATGCAGTAATGCCACAGCCCTGCTCTCCATATCCCTTACACTGTGTATGGTTTGAGAATTACATACTTAGGTGAAGCATGTAGTTCATTACACATTACAAGTCAATGTAGCTATACTATTGATCCTCACATTTTCTCACTTGGAGATAAACTAGAAGAATATAAAACACTCAGCTGTAAATAAAAATTTAGTCTGTTTAATGCCTAATCATATTTGACTTCTTCAGTGTCATTTATCCCACTATTTTCCTCCTGCAATACTAATGAAGCTACTTATCCTCGCATTGTTACCTCATTGCTCTTACCGGGTCATTCCAACTTGTAAATTTAATTTGTGGTTTGCCTCTCCTGGAGCAGGCTTTATGTTTGATATTTATGTTTTTACAACATGGAAGATATGCCTTTCTGGTAGGGTATCGATGATTGCAATGTCTTCTGGGAGGACGATACTGGCAGTTGCTTCCTGCATGGTATAACTTTGGTAAATTTTAAATCTGCTAAAGACAAAAGCAAGAGATTAAAGTTGGGTCTCGAGAGTGTGCTCTTCTCAAGATCTCAGGTCCGAATCCTGTTAGGTGTTAATAATCTTTGTGTTAAGGCAGTTTATACAGTGTTTTGTCATGGCTTTAAAGGGGTTTTGTTACTTAACGGTATGATTTGATCATGTTGGATTAGTAAGGCCGAATTCTAAAATTTAAAATATATAAAAAAAAATAAAACAAGAGCAGAGAGACTTTAAGTTGATGAGTAAAATTGGAAATATTGGAATTATGTGAAGCAAATAATGTCTAAAATAAATATAAGACAAGTAATTTATCATATATAAACCTTGAACTTAGACTAAACTTATTTAAGCAATGAGACTCAACCTACTCCACCCATATTGTTTGCAACATAGCCTGTTTCATCATTCTCCCATATTTGTTACATAGCCTGTTTCATCATTCTCTTTCTTTTTGTGATTAATCATTCTCTCTTTTAATGTCACTTTTAAACATTAATAAAGTAAATGAAGTTACTCACATATAAATTCTCTTTCTTTTTTTATTTATCATTGTCTCTCTTTTAATGTCACTTTTAAACATTAATAAAGTAAATGAAGCTACTCACATATAAATTCTCTTTCTTTTTTTATTAATCATTTTCTCTTTTAATTTCACTTTTAAACATTAATAAAGTAAATGAAGCTACTCGCATATAAATTCCAAACTTTCAGTTTTAACTCTATTGGTTTAAAAGTTAAAAATATCATAATCATTGTATGGGTCAACTTCAAATAGACCACTTAAATCCACACTATTCTCCGAACTATTCTAGATAAATTATTTAGTTTGGAATAACCATAATATGCATACAATATAGTCTATTTCATCCTATAAATGTTTTTTCAAATTAAAAAAGAAAAAACTATTTTTTAGTTTTCCATAAATTCATCCTATGAGAAAGAACAGTCTAAGCACTGTTGGGCACCAAGTGCAGCACCTATCATAGTGTTTTAGCTGTAACAAAATCCCTTGACTTTGTGGAGAAAACTGCACTCTAACTTTCTATCTCTCTCACATCTCTGCTCAAATTAACCGATCATTTGAATTATCCATATCCAAATCATTCTGTTTCATTTCTCTCTCTATAAGAAATGTCTAAAGTAATAAAAAATTAGAGAATGGAAAGTCAGAGAATATGAATCCGTCTTTGTTCCAGCATTTAACAGTTTGTGTGCTTCCTCGACTAAAGCAACTTGATCCAAGGCATGTTAATACATTCGACTAAAATTGAAATAGTGAAATGAGATAAGATGAAAAATACAATAGAGTAAAACTATCATTTCATTGATTCTATATTTTATGATAAAATAAAAGTGAAGATCCGATCTCATGTTCCCAAATGGTGGAATGCAGGTGGTATGTTACCAGTAGTCATTACAAGAGCATGTTCCATATTTGAAATGGTGAAAGCGATTCGAATCTCTTACAACAATCTCCTTATGAAACAGTTTTGATGCTAATTTCATAAAGTTATGACAATCAACACAAATACGGATATTCTTCATTATTTTAATGACATTTCCAGCACCAGGGAAATTTGCTTCATTCATTGTAGCAAATACCAATGCCATCTTCTCACTGTGATGAAACAATTGGTCTTCTATGTGCTCCAGTTCAATGTCATGCAACGCAGAGCTAATCTCTGGAGCATAGCCCATTTCTTTCAACTGTCCAATCAATGTTTCCAGCCGGCTCAATATAGCTGCTCTTTTCGGATGATGTTGGCCACCAGATGTGAACTCATGAACCTGCTTCCCAACCTCAACCCAGCTTAATCCAGGTCTTTTTCTCACTTTAGAGTCTCTCATTTCCTTCCTCATAAGGCCAGCTTCAATAAAACTACCTCCAGAGGAGTATATGTTTGACATCTGTATATACGCCAACGAGTTTTTAGGATCTAACTCTTTAAATTTATCAGCTGCCAATTTGGCCAAGCCAGCCTCACCGTGCTTCCGGCAAGATCCAAGTAATGAACTCCAAATCACAGAATCAGGTTTCATTGGCATTTTATTTATCAACTCCTCTGCCTCAAATAGTTTCCCAGCTCGTCCGTAGAGGTCAACCATGCAGGCATAATGATCTAGTTGAGGAGAAATACCATGATTTTCAGTCATAGAGTTGAAGATTTCCACTCCTTTTTCAACAAGCCCAGCGTGACTGCATGCTGCAAGAAGTGCAACGAAGGTTGCAGAATCTGGTTGGACATCCATTTGTTTGAAGAGCTTTACCACATCTTTAGCTCGACCATGCATGGCATAAGACTTGAGCATTGAATTCCAAGAAACCAAATCACGGCGACACATTTCGTCAAATACTTGTTCACACAAAGCTAAGGAGCCACACCTCCCATAAGCATGTATCAAGGCATTTGAAACAACTGTGTCGTCCTGAAACCCGTGTTTAATTACTTGTGAATGAACTGCCGTTGCATTTTGCTCAGTCACAAAGTAGGCACAAGCTTTTAAGGCGATTGAGAATGTATGCCGGTCCAACACAATATTTTCTCGATGAAGTTGACAGAGAAGAAGGAAAGCCTGCTCAGGGTTGCACTCTGCAAACACAGAAATAATAGCAGTCCATGACACAATATCATGTTGGCCACTTGTATCAAGGAAGAGCTTGTAACAGTCCGAAATGTGACTCCCTAGATTTGCATAGGATTTTACCAATGCAGTTACCACTTCAACTTCTGAAATAAGACCACTTTTAATAGTGAGACAGTGCAATTGAAAACAGTTCCTCAGATGTGTGATGATGTCATCCAAAGTATTATTGCGTTGATTTAAAGAAGAGAAAACACCAAGTAGTGTGGCACTGTTAAACCCAATTCCATTGCAGTACATATATGCAAACAGACCAATGGCTTTGTCCCCAAGGCCGCGAAGCTGAAAACCTGAAATCATTGAATTCCAAGATATAAGATTTCTATACTCCATTGACTTGAACACAGTCCACGCATCATCCAAAGTTTGATCATAGCCTCCACCGAAACCATAAGAGCACTTACTATACATTGTAATAAGAGCATTTGCAACAAATACATTGAAATCCAACGAAAATTTCAAAGCAACAGCATGTACCTGCAAGCCATATTTGACATCATGCTCCTCACAAGCACTAAGCACACTTGCAAAAGCAAATTCATTGGGGCGAAAACAAGCCAACATGCCAGAGAATAAAGCAAAACACTCTCTGATCAAACCAAATTGAGCATATCCAGAAATGAGAACAGTCCAAGAAACAAAGTTTCTCCTAGGCATTTCATCAAACAGGTGGTGAGCATAATCTAAATGGCCACACTTGCAATACATGTTTAAGAGGTTATTAGTGAGAAAAAGATCATTTTGAATTGTGGGGTGTTTGCTAAATATGTAATGGTGCAATGTCATGCCTTGTTGGATCCATTTTTTCTGAGCACAAGCATGGAACAGAAAGGCATAGTCTTGTAGGGATAGAGAAGGGTGGGTGTAAACAAGTGAAAGTGCTTCTTCAAGATTGCCTTGTAAGGAAAGAGTGTGTATTTGTGGGTTTATGTTTCTGGCTATGGTTTGTGGTTGTTCAGGTTGTGCGGTTGAAGTGCAATAAAGATTCGGTACCATAGTACAAGGTTTGGGGAATACACAGTGCACAAGCTTTTTAGCTCGCAAATGGAACATTTTGGTTTTGAAATGTAATGTGTGTTCTTATGTGGAGTTACTGTAAAATCTTTGACTCAATTATTGAAGACTGAGGGAATTAAGTCGATCGTTTTCTATCACTTTAAGATTACGTTTAGATTGATGAAATGCGACATAATGGAATGGAATAATGATATGTTCAATTATTTAGATTGGTAAAAAGAGAATAGAATGCATTTTATCTTATTCTATCAAATCTTTTAATTTTTATTCCATCTAATTTAAAGTGTATGTAATGGAATAAAATAATTTGTTGAATTTCGTTCCGTCAAATTATAAAAAATACAAACAATAGAATGAACAGGTTTGCTATTCCTACACCCATTCTTACACCTTACACCCAATTTACTGTTCATAAATATATGAAAAAAATGCTCAGAACATGGTTAATGGTATGTATTTTATTGGTTAATGAAGTAGTGAAAGTGGTTAATAAATTATAGGTAAAATAATTGGTTAATGATGTAGATTTTTGTGGTTAATGCAACTGTGAATTTGGTTAATGCGTAATCTTATATTTGTGTTATAAAATAAATTTTAAAAATAAATATTTTTTTTTAAAAAAATTAATATTTTAAAAAAATATATTATTTTAATAAAAAAAACACTGTTCACCGTATAAATACGGTGAACAGTGCATACGGTGTATGTATGGGGTGTAAGAAATGGTGTCAAAATAGCATTTTTCTAGAATGAAACCTATGTTCCATTCGACTCTATTGCACTCTATTACATCCATTCGACTCTATTACTCTACTTCGGTCTATTTCATCAATCCAAACATAGTCTATGTGCAAATTTCGAGATCCAAGAATGTTAAGGCCTAGTTTGGAAGGAGTTTTCTTCAATAAACCGACTTTGAATGAAAAAGCTAACCTTGAAGCTCTTTTTTCTCTTTTGGACATTAAAGATGTCACATGGAAGGGTAAGGATCCTCTACCTTTTAGGAGAGAAAATTAGAGTGACTTTAAGAAGAAAAAATGGAAAAAGATAAAAAAGAAGATAATTTTTATTTGGAGGAAAAAAATGTGAGAGAAAATAAATCTTGAGAAAGATAGAGAAAAAATGAGAGAAAGATAGAGTTAAAAGTTAGAGAATCCAAAACACATATGGAACTCGCCAAAGACAAAAGCCTCATTCAAAATGGCTTCACAACGGGGTTCTACAAAGTAGTATAGGACATCATTAAAAAATTGATTTCTTTAACCGTATTACTGAATTTTTTAATTTTGAAAAAATATAATCCGTAGGATCTCAACGATCAGAGGCCAATCTGTTTTGTTGGAAGCATATATTGTATCATCTCCAAACTTCTTCAGGCAGAAAGACTGAAGTTTGTTATTAAAAAGCTTATTTCTTCTTTTTAAATAGCTTTTATTCCCGATCGTAATATGTTGGATGGTGTCTTGGTGGTTAACGAATAGATTGATTTTCCTATAAGAAATAGGAATCAACTTTTTATCTTTAAAGTCAATTTCAAGAAGGCTTTTGATTCTGTGGTTTGGGTGTTCTTATTTTTTGTCTTAAAGCAAATGAATTTTGGCGATAGATGGATGAAATGGATCAAATCTTGTGTCTGCTCGAGTTCATTCTCTGTTCTTATAAACAGAAGTCTAACTAAGGATTTTCAAGCTTCTCAAGATTTTCGACAAGGGGATCCATCTTCTCTGTTTCTCGTCATAATCGTAACTGAATGTCTTGCTAGGCTAATGAAAAATGTGGTTTCTCAATCAACCTTTCTCTTTGTCGAATAATCTCAATTTTAATCTCTAACAATTTGCTGATGACACAATCATTCTTGATCAATCTTTGCTGAGAAAATATTTGGATGCTCAGAGTAATTTTGCGTAGTTTCGAAATGGTTTTAGGATTAAGAATAAAATTCCACAAAATTAGGATTTTAGGCTTCAATGATTATCCAGCTTTCTTGGAGGTCGCTTCAGACTTTCTAGTGTGTTCAATTTTTCACTTTCCCAACATTTTTGGAAATTTCTTTAGGTGTCAATCCTAGAATAGGTGTCAATCCTAGAAGGTGTAGTTTGTGTTCAAGTTGGAATAGAAAATTCATATCTTATGGAGGGCGAGTTGTTTTTTTAAATGCGATTCTTATTGTCATTCCATTATATTTCATTTTGATCTACAAAGCTTCAAAGTTGTTTATTGATGAGGCTATCAAGATTCAAAGAACTTTTCTTTGAAAAGGCAAGGAAAGTAAGAGGCGGATCAATCGGGTATCCTAGTCTCCGGTATGTAAACTTAAAGTTAATGGAGGATTGGGAATAAAACGTTGTAGGTTTTTAACACGCCTCTGCTCAGCAAGTAGATTTGGAAAATTATGCATAAATAAGATCTTCCTTAGGTCCATGTTCTTTCTGTTAAGTACAGTTATTTAATTAGTCAACTATTAGAAACCTTTATTCCATCATCTAGGCTTTATTCTATGTGATGGCGATATATTAGAGATATTATGTCTATAACGGGTTCAAAACAGTATCTGTTGCAAACTAGGTGCAAGTTCGGACATTGATTTTTGAAGGTCTAGATGGATAGGCCATCATCCACTCAAAGAAAGTTTTCCATTTCTTTTCGACCATTGTGTTGAACAGAGAGTGGTTGTATGTAATGCGAGTTTTGGGTCACAAGGCTACTAGAACTAGAAAGTCAAAATTGATCTGTTGTTCTTCTTTGCAAAATCCAAATTACTACTGGAAGAACTAAAGTCAATGATGTCTTCCTTCCATCAAGATCCGCTAGCTCCTGATTCAGTAGTTTGGTGGAGAGTTGTCTCGAGTTTTTTTTCTCCAAAATTGGCATATAATACTCTATAATTTTTTTGTCTTATGATGTCTTGGTTGATATAAGGTTGGCTACAAATTTATCTCTATCTTGGAGTTATGTGTTCCAAGCAACATCAGGTTTCTCGTTCGAAGTTTACTACTGAGAAGGCTCCTTACTCTTGACGAATTGTAGAAATGAGGCATTCTCTTTGGTGCGCACAATCTCGTTTGTCCTCTTTGTTTGGAATATCTTGACCATTTTTTTTGCTTTGTCTGATTGCTTCTCGTGTTTGGGTAATCATGCAAAATTGGATTGGTATCTCTCATTTGTCTCTTCAGCAAGTGTTATGTCACACATGCTCTAGTTTTTCTAAGTGTTTAGCGGGTAATTTACAGAAATGATTATGATTTAGTTGTCGGTTTTATGGTCAATTTGATCAGCGAGAAATGAAGTTCTTTTTAATTGGGGCATTAAAGATGTAGATAATATTGTCTTTTTAGCTAAGAAGTTAGTTTTGGATTAGTTAGAGGCCAAGTTGTTAAGGCCTTTAGATTTTAAGTGGGAGAATTGGTTTAGAAATCCTATTCTTTGTTTACTTTAATCTTATTGATTAATGACCTTATTCTTCTCCTTTTGTGAATGAGTTGAGTATCCCTAGTATTCAATTTCAATACAATTTCTTCTTATAAGAAAATTATGATATTTTACATAAATATTACACAAAAATACTTCATTATTATAAAATCAACTTTGAAGTATTTAATTATAAATTGAACTTAGTATTTCGTGATAGTCCCTCTCACATCCAACATTATTCTATTTAGCGGATAAATTTAAATGGTGAATAATATTCATAGATGAAAACAATTACAAAGTACAACCGCGTCAAAAAGTAAGCACCTTATTCCCTTGACCCAAATATGAATTATCATTATATTTAATTAGAAGATACTTTGTATCTCATATCGAACTATACAAAATTTAAACTATTTATCATATACAAACTCTATTATGTGACATTTACATGTATTGTATTATTTTCGCTCTCAAACTATATTTGGACCACTCCACTCTATCGTGTTTGAAGCATTCAACTTTTTATAAATGAGAAGGAAAATAGTTAGGTCGAAAGATGAAAAAGGTTTAAAATATTACAACAATTATGATCAAATTTTAAATATTTTTTAATATATTGCAACTAAATATCTTATGCACTCTTGTATACTTTTAATTCACATATTATATATATATATATATATATATATATATATATATATATATATATATATATATATATATATATATATATATATATATATATATATATATATATATATATATAGATAGAGAGAGAGAGAGAGAGAGAGAGAGAGAGAGAGAGAGAGAGAGAGAGAGAGAGAGAGAGAGAGAGAGAGAGAGAGAGAGAGAGAGAGAGAGAGAGAGAGAGAGAGAGAGAGAGAGAGAGAGAGAGAGAGTGAGAGAATCTACTTACTCCAAGAATAAGTTTTTATAACTCACTCCACAATCATAGCCTTTAAATTAGATTTAATCGTATGGTTATAAGTAAAAATACTAATTTAACCACTAGATTAGATTCAATTTAAAGGTTATGATGGGGATCAACTTACTCAAAAATTAAATTATTTTATCTTACCCCAAATCATGATCTTTGAATTGAATCTGATGTAATGGTTAATTAAGTAAAAAAGACTAATTTAACCATTATATTAGATTCAATTCTCACGCTATGATTTGGAGTAAGTTAAAAAAAAAATTACTCTTGGAGTAAGTTGATCCAACTCATATATTTTAATTTCAGCCACATGATTTAATCTAATGGTTAGACTTTATTCTCATCATTCTAATATAAAGAAGACAATCTCTCATATATATATATATATATATATATATATATATATATATATATATATATATATATATATATATATATATATATATATATATATATATATATATATATATATATATATATATATATATATATATATATATATATATATATATATATATATATATATATATATATATATATATATATATATATATATATATATATATATATATATATATATATATATATATATATATATATATGTATATATATATATATATGTATATATATATATATATATATATATATATATGTATATATATATATGTATATATATATATATATATAT